TACACATTATGATACTCAAATACAAACAAGCATATGTACATGCACACGTGCATGCACGCATACATATATACATACATACATACATACATACATACATACGCATACATATATAAATACATACATGCATGTATGCTTGCGGGCATGCATGCACGCATACCTGCATAACAACAATCCACACATCCATCCATCAACATATCCATACATGCATACATACATGCGTGTGTGCATGTATGTATACATATACGATGTATACATGTGAACACATATGTATATCGCTCGTGTTTCCGCGGCGCACAGTGCCCAGTTGATCACTGCACACCCTTGTGAGTTGATAAGAAGAGCGCCCGCGCAGCGCGGGCACTGTCCTCGGTCGCATTAGGAAGCGACCTCCTGATAATGGGAAGCTTCGTCTGTATGTTGTAGGTATGAAAAGCATGACCGCGCGCAATCTAACGCAACACGCTGCGGGTACTCGTCGGATTCTCCGCTGTTGAGGCCCAGACGAATTAAAATCGGCTGTGGGATGCATAATTGCGCATGCCACACTGTGCGCACTGCCTGCCAAAGAAGTGGGCAGCGGGTGTAGTGAGCCATGGCGCCTGAGGCGCGAGCGTCCTCGGATTGGCGGCGGCCGAAAATACAGGGGCTGCAAACGTCACGCGAGCGAAGGCGACGGCTCGTGGTCCATCCCCCCACCCAGGTCTTGAGAAGAGCCGAGTGAGCAGAGGGCGAGGAGCCCGGCACGAGCAGCTCCTTGGGCGGCCCCCATTCAATCTGGTTTCGCCCAGGAGTTGAGGCGAGAGAGAAAGGTCACAGGCAGGCGGTCAGGGAGGAGCGAGGAGACGAGGTTGGAGTGAATAAACTTCTGCATGCACAAGCGAGCAGTAGAACATTCGGCCAGAAGGCGGGCCTTCTCCTCTTTCCATTCCCTCAGCGCAGTGGCGCAGGCCACGGCCAGCGGTCGCTTCTTCTCGTTGGGGAATCCCTGCGCCGCTTCCTCGAGAGCGTGGGCGATCGGCTTCGACTTCCAGTGGGCAGGGGCGAACAGGCCGTGCGAACGGGCGTGGAACGAGAAGCCGATGCCCGCTGCGTCGCGCAGACGCCGAGCCCAAAACTTCCAGTTCAGAACTGAGCCAGCGGCACTGCGCATCAGTGCCGCGCGACTGCTGAGCTCGAGGGGGACCGCCTTGAGCGATGTCCAGCGCCCCAGTGCCAGTAGATCATCCCGAGGTAGAGCTTGCGGGGGCAGGTGCCAGACGCGACGCAGAGCCCAGCTTTCTTTCTTCTTCATCTTCTGCGGCCACGCGAAGAGCTGGCTGAGGCACGAGGCATTGCTTACCGCTCGTTGGTTGTAGAGCATCAGCGAGGTACTGGTCGGGGCCCCGACGTCGGCGATCAGGACAGTAGAGCGCTGCCATCCGAGGATTACCCTCTTCCACCTGTGTCCATCATCAACACTGGGTCCCAGCAGCACCCCCAGGTAATCTGCCCTGTCCGTGATCGTCATGTCACTCCATCGTGGTACCAGCTCAGCGATCTTGGCACGAACCCTGTCCTCCACCGCAGGTGCGAATGCCTCCGCCAGCGGGATGATCTTACACTTCGCCGCCCTCAGGACCAAGCGTGCCGGATTCTCCGCCGCGTAGAACACCCTGCTCATAGGACGGAGCATCTTCAATGAGGGGAGGGCGCTGCCCACGTCGTCAGCGCAGACGCCGATGACCGCGCCCTCGAAGTGCGCCGTCCGCGAGTGCAAGTCCATGATCAGCGGGTCCATGCCCACCGCCCACAGCGTGCCCGACCAGGGGCACCCCTGAAGAATGCTCGAGGCGAGGGCGCAGAAAATCTCGCTGGCGCCCGCGAGGTTGGCGCCTCAATCACGTTGCGGATGCCCTCGCGGAAGTCCGCTATCTCCAGCGCCATGTTGAGCCATGTTCTGCACATTGATGGAAACGCAACACCGAAGTCGTATAGGACCATCAGCGGGTCTTTATTCGTCAAGTCGTCTTGCATGGCGACAACGCGGGACTGCGCATCCATAGCCACCACGTGTTCGATGAAGCACCGCTTCGGGAGGACGCCTTTCTGCGTGGGCCCCTTTCGCGACGATTGGCTTCATCAGCTCGTTGCCCATGGCAGCCACAATCTTGCAGTCCGTGTTCTTCAGAGAGAGGGGCCTCGTGGCCTTCGCCAGTCTGGTAGCCGAAATTCCATCATCAGGTTCCGACCCTTTCGGGGTGAATAGCACGAGCAAGTCTTTGAAGTCCAGCGGCACGGGAAAACCTTGCATTACCTCGAGCGTCACCTCGAGGAGGAGCTGCGCCGCGGAGGGGATGCGCTTCCAGGCTGTGTACGGGATACCATCAGGGCATGGAGCCGAAATGTTGAGCCTGCGCATGAGGTTCTGCATTTTGCCCAGCGCCGGCATGTCCATCTGGGAGCAGTCGCGGGGAATGATGTGCTTGTCCAGGTAGAGACTGACGTGCTTGGCGTGGCTCGGTTTCGCCTGAAACACAAGGGACCATTGGCGCCGAAGCTCGGCAACCATGTCCTCAGGCTGCTCAGCGGCGCAGCGGTCGCGCAGGACCTCGATGGCCTTGAGCTTCAGCACTTTGCCAGTGGGGGCCCAGAGCTTGCCGCGCTTCTGGATCGCCCTCTGCATCTTGTGGAGGCGCTGTCTCTGGAGGAAGTGGGCCCCCCTCGCTTGCTCCTCCTGATGTAGGGCCTCCGTGCGCTGGCCCAGGTACCCCTGATGATGCTGCTCGAATGCACGACGGAAGGTCCCGGGCTCAATTAGCGCGACGTTGTTGCTGCCAGAGATGCCCAGGAACCTCGCGCCCAGCTTCGTGCAAGCATGCAGTGCGCGAGCGCCCTTCCAATCATTCCTCCATACGGCCCTAGAGATCGCTCTGCATGCCGTCAGGCCGTCAGGGCAGCCGCCGAGCAGGGAGCGCGTGCGTCAGTCATGTCGCTGCGCGTCAGCCTGGCCGCCTCGCGAATGAGGCGCTTGTATTCCTTGAGGCGGATGAAGGGTGGGTAGTTGTCCACGTCAGCAGCACCTCTCAGCAGGTCGAAGTATTTGGCGAGGAGGGGGCTCTCGAAGATGCACTGCGGAATCGGCTGCCGCTCACTGCCCTCGGGAGAACGCGCTGCGAGCCGAAGGCGAACTGGGGCGCGGTCAGAGATTCCCCTGTCGAAGAGGGTGTCAGGCGCCACGGGGATGTCCACCTTCGCGCGCCACTGCATCAGCAGCCACGGCGGCGAACTTATGTAGATCTTGTCAATCCGCGTGCACTGCTGCGATTGATCGGCGTAGTGCGTCGGTAACTCAGGGCCCACCTCGACCATGTCACCCAGAGCTTGTTCCCAAAGCAGCTGGTGTTCTGGGTGGTGATTTCGTCGGCGAGGGAGGCCTTTGTTGACCAGCGGTGCTGTCAGCTCTAGCTGAGCCTCATCCACGAAGTTGAAGTCACCCATGACGAGCACGGTGATCCTCTCCGGTTGTTGTTCAGCGATGCTGGGCCCGGCACGGATCGCGCCCCTCGCGCGCTGGACCTGGCCCGCGGCGAGCTGGAAGTTGTGGGCGTTGTAGATCGCGATCACGTTGGGGAGCGCGCCCGCTGCAGCATCGGAAACATCTGATTTGATGCGCAGGCGCTGGACACGACCAGGGATGGGCTCCGAGTGGCGGAATCGATGAGGGTCAGCAGCTTCGGTCGGCGATAGCCCAGGCACGAGCAGCGCTACACCGCCAGCACCCCGATCGGGGATGGAGGCGAAGCAAGCCGCTGTCTTGTGTGCGAAGTGAATCTCGCGGTTGAGCTCCGCTTCTCAGCCGTGGACCTCCTGCAACGCGAGCACGGCCGAGGAGTTCATCACCTGCAACATAAACGAAATCTTCTTCTTCCTCTTGATGGGGCCCCTGCAGAGCAGCGCCCTCGAGTTCCACGTCGCGAAAGAAATCGGCGTCGACGAGTCTGTGCCCCGCCAAGGGGCTAGAGTCCTGTTAAATATGTCACGGCACGTTCTGTGCGTCAAGCGAGGTCTGGAAGAATTGCTCGAACTGCACGCGGATCTCCTCGCGGTTGAGGCCGTGCTGAAGGCGGCCGCTGCAGTTGAAGAGCAAACGGGTGGGCTCGTCTCTTGTGGGCCCGACCACGATGGAGAGGACTGGCATGTTGTTGCAATATGCAATGCCCTGCTGACGGTCACTTCGCCACCGCTTCGTGGCATCCTGGGCTCTGCAGAACTGGGCGAGCTTCTTGGTCTGGAACTCCCTCCGCGCCGTTTTCCCTGAGCGGTCGAGGCCGAGGAAGAGTCTTGTAGATTGTCCATGAATACTTTGAACTCCTGTGTTGATCCATTCGCCGTCGGGACTTCTGAGCTTGCTGTAAAGGCCCCGACCTTCCGAGCAGATGCGTTGGCATCACCACTGAATTGAATGAAGAAGCGTCTCGCTGGGCTCTTCCCGACCACCTCCCAGTCGCCTTCGTTGAGGTCACACCTGTCCATGATCGGCTTGATGCTGTGCTTGAACTGGTCCGCTGCGTAATTCTCCGATGCAGTGCCGACAATGATGCTGGTGTCTGCCGCTCTGTCCCACTCAATGAGGTTCTCGTAGTTTTTGATCGGGATCCGCGCTTCTTGCATATATAGCCGCTGTCGCATTTCTGCGACTTGAGCACGTTATTCTCGTTGATATGCTTCCAGCTTGGGCGAGGCGGCCTGGAGCGACTGGATCTGTCCCGTGGACTGTTCGTTTTGCTTCTGCTGCTGTCCGGCGACCGCGCCCAGAGGACCTCTGAGCTGTGTGGCGAACTCTGCGGTGACCTCTTGTTTGACTGCGGCCAACTTCGCGTCGAGCTGCGCCGTGAGGAAGTCCTGCGATGCTTTGATGGCGGCGTTGACGGCCTCCATGGGGTCGGTGAGCTCGGAAGAGGTGGAGGCGTTGGAGGCAGCGTTCCGTTCTGTAGGTGCGTCAGCACGGAGTCCCTTGGAACCTTCAGCTGCAGCGCGGGAGAGAGCGGCCGAATCTCTCCACGGATCGTGCTGATGGACTGCATCTGGTTGTCGATCACCTGCGCGCTGAGGAGGTCCTTCGCTCGCATCAGCACCAGAGGGTTGGTGAGCAGCAGCAGGGTGGTCGGCAGCAGCAGTTCCACGACGAACCGCCATTCGCGGGGACCACTGGGTGCCTGGGGCTGACCAGGACTTGGAATATGGATGCCAGGGGCGGACCTGGGCTTCTGAATATGGATGCAAGGGGCGGACCTGGACTTGGAGCGGGTGCCAGGGGCGGACCTGGGCTTGGAGACAGCTGGATCTCTGGGTGGGAGCCTGCCCCGCGAAGGCAGTTCTGGAGGGTCAGCCATTTGGCCTTGAGCCAAAATGGCTACGGGTAAACACATATGTATGTATGTATGTATGTATGTATGTATGTATGTATGTATGTATGTATGTATGTATGTATGTATAAATATATATATATATATGTATATCGCTCCCGCCCCGGCCATCGGTGCTGGAAGCGTTGCACTTTCCTCTGCTAGGACGAAGCCAGGACGCGGCAAAAGTCGGGTAATGACAGCATCGAGGAGAATCTCTAAGATCCAGCGGTTTTGAAGGATGTCTCCAGACCCGAGGCCTTCTCAGAGCGTTCCAGAACGTTCTGAGAGCGTTCTGGAACGCTCTGAAACGGATTTTTCCTCGTCTCAGCCCCGCCCGATGGGGGATACCCGTCGGTCAGAAGAAGTAGGTAGAACCATGAAGTAGGACTGTGTTTAAGTAGATTGGGCTTCCGCCCGCCCCCTGAAGTGACAGGCAAATGAACAGGCACTCGACGATTGAAGCAGGCAGGCGCCTGAAGTAGATTGGGATCTGGAAAATCTGGGGATTTGTCCTCGCCCCGCCCGATCTGCTGAGGGGGGTGGGATTCCTGATGGCTTCCCAGGGCTGAACTGGATGGTCAGGAAAGCCCACGGCGAACCGTATGGCCCCATTCCCTGCCGACACGCCCCTGGGAGTGCGACAGGGAGGAGTTGCTTCTGAGGACACGGAGGAGGAGGAAGAGGAGGAGGAGGCCGAGAAGGATGAGAAGGACGAGGAGGAGGAGGCGGAGGAGGAATGGAGGAGGAGCCAGCGATCTGCGATCCGGGGCCCCATCCAGAGGCAGCTCAGCGGCCCGCGTCCCAGGGAAACTTGATCTTCGGGAAGGAGCGCTTGAACGCATAGAAGGACGGGATGCCCACCCCTGGCGGGAAGAAGCGCCGACATCGTGCTTTCTCCCCCCAACCATCATCCAACCATCATCACGCAAACTCGCTTCTATCATGACCAAACCTCTGCCCGAAACCTTCAAGTGTGGCCGAAGCTGGTGCTAGAATCCCACCAGCCCTCTGGGCGTCGGTGGTTTAGAGCGGTTCCTCTTCCACCCCTCCCTCTTCCCCTTCGGGGAAGGGTTTATCACTGTTCCCTATTAATAAACACCCCATCCCCCAGGCGACCGGGGGCCAACCCTGGTCCATGACGACACCCCCCCCCACAATCCCTTGTAAAAAAACATACAAACACACACACACACACACACACACACTCTGCCTCCAAATTCGGAACATGCGCAGCCAACCCGATGCGCCCCCCCCCCCACCATCCCTGTCAAAAAACAATACAGAATACACTTGGCGGAGGCGGCGGCGGTTGCGGCGGCGGCGGCTGCGGCGGCGGCGGCGGCGGCTGCGGCGGCTGCGGCGGCGGCAGCGGCTGCGGTGGCGGCGGTGGCGGCGGCGGCGGTGGCGGTAGCGGCAGCGGCTGCGGCGGCGGCGGCAGCGGCGGCGGCGGCGGCGGCGGAGGAGGCGGCAGTGGCGGCGGCGGATTGGCCCCCAGTAGCTACCCATCCAAAGACGATTGCTGAATATGCTGAGGCTCGGGCCAGACTCGGGTGCTACGTATGTGTTGGGAGGGCGGGTGGGAGTGAGCGAGACGGCTTGCGGGCGGGGGGGGGTCTTGACCCCTCCCCCATACCCTTCCCCCGTGGACCTGGACGGGGGGGGGGCCGCGGGTAGCTAGAGCGTCCAAAACGGCCTCGGCGAAGAAGCCAAAATCATTGATTTTACTATGAGTTTGGGCCCCATTTTGGCCTCCTGGAGGGGGGGGGGGGGGCGTAATTGAGGACCCCCCTTCGTTGACCGATCTCCTCCAAGATGGCCCCAAGAAGCGCCCAGGAGGCCCCAAGAGGTCCCAAGATGGCCCCAAAATGGCCCCCAAGAGGCCCCCAGGAGGCCCCCAAGAAAACCCTCAGCGGCCCCAAGGGGCCCCCCCCGCGGCACCCAAGACCCCGAAGAGCCCCCCAGGATCGCCAAGAGGCCCCCAAGACGTCCCAAGAGGCCACCAAGAATCGCCCAAAAGATACCCCAAGAGGCTCCGAGGGGCATCCAAGAGACGTCTGGCCCTTGTGCTTGCCCTCCTCCTCCTCCTCCTGTTCCTCCTTCCTGCTCCTACTCCTTCTCTTCCTCCTCCTCCTCCTCCTCCTCCTCCTCCTCCGCCTCCTCCGCCTCCGCCTCCGCCTCTCCCTCCTCCTCCTCCCCTCCTCCTCCTCTTCCTCCTCCTCCTCCCCCTCCCCCTCCCCCCCCTCCTCCTCCTCCTCCTCCTCCTCTCCTCCTCCTCCTCCTCCTCCCCTTCCTCTCCCTCCTCCTCCTCCTCCTCCTCCTCCTCCCTCCTCCTCCTCCTCCTCCTCATCCTGTTCATCCTCCTTCTTCCCACTCCCTCCTCCATCCATCCATCCACCTCCTCCTTCTCCTCCTCACTCCTTTGCACGGTTCGGCCGTCCCCCTCTTTGCTGCCGCACTTCCCTGATCACCTCAACTCGCCTGGGCATCTTTTCTGGATGGGCTGGTGGGGATACTTGTTTGGTCAGCGGCCGCGGGCTGACGCGCCGGCGGCGAGTCAGGTCAAAGCGGGCTACGCAGACACGAATTGAGCAAAGGCAACGCGAACAGGCTACGACAGGCGGAGCAAGCCGAGGCCTCACGCGGCGGCCCAGCGGCGGGCGGGTGGCAGGGGAGACTGAAACTGAGTCGAACTGCCAGCGAGCAAGCTGGTGGGGATACTTTCTTTCTTTTTTTACAGCCGCAGGCGGAAGCGCCAGCGGCGGGCAGTCGCGGGCGGGCTGCGGCCGCGACTAGCGGCGGGCGCGCGCTTGGCCGCGGTCAGGCGGCAGGCAGCAGCGTCCTAAGGCGTCAGAACCCACGTGCAGTCCAGGGGGCCTGCGGGCCCCAGAACGGGCGTGCAAAGGGCATCCAGGGAGCCAGATGAGCACCGTGAAGCCGACATGCAATCCAGGGAGCTTGCTGAACAACCCCTGAGAACGTGCAAAGGTACATCCAGGGAGCCTAAGACCGGCCCGAGGAGACCAACGCAGCCAAAATGGCGCGAGCGTTCCCACCAATGAGCGGAAAGTAGGAACGAATCCGAGGACGTCGACCAAATGTCAAGAGTACCCAATCAATGAGATCAAGTCCAGCGGAAAGCCTGACGACGAGAAGGGACGCGGCGTCAGAGAACGCACCCAGGGTGGTACATGTGAGCGGTGAACCCACCAAACTGAGATGCAAGCCCAGCCAGCAAGGGGTTGGGCCGTGGTGTGCACAATGAACGAAAGACCACGTTACGAGTGCACAACCAAGTCTCAGAACTACCCAAACGAGTCAGATAGCAGCCGAGAAGGGACCGTCTTAGAAAGGACACGTCCCTCGAAGCGATACGATCCAGGGTCACGGCGGAAGGCCGTTCAGTCGGTTAGAAATTCCAGGGAGAAGGCCAGTGGACAGGCGAGCCGCGGCCCACTGACAGGCCAGGAACGCCCGGCGGTGAGACATCTACAGCAAGGCCAGAGGCCGCGAGTCCACAGCGGAGGGGCTGTGGACGGCATTGCCGAAGCAAGCACCTGCATCCAGAGGCAGGAGGTGCACTCATCGGGTGGAGGGCGGCAGAGCGCCGCGATTAAGGGGCCCGCGGCGCGGCCTAGGGCAGCGCCAGATAGAATTCAGGAAGTGAAACCGACGGCGAGGAACGGGGGGGCCTTGCGGCGAGAGGGCCGCGGCCAACGGGGGAGAAAGGCAGCGATGCCAGTGGCAAGTTGGTCTGCAGGATGCGCGGTGTCACGCAGAGAGCAGATGGCATTACTGAACGGCACCCCAAGGCACAAGGGTGAGTGAGAGTGCCGCCCAGGGGAGGGGCGGCGGTGCTGCCCCAGGTTGAAGGAGAGAGCGGCGGAGGGCCGCGGTAGCGCGTCGCAGGGCGTAGGTGGTGGCGCGGGCACTGGGGGCGGGGAGAGGGCGGAGAGGGAGCTCAGTCTCTCCAATGGAGTCTCATTTCATCTCGATCGTCCCGATCATCAGGGCAACCTCCGCCGCGTCTGCCACCCGTCTGCCAGTGATCTTCGCGCCATCCATCGCGCCACTCGCCCTGCCAACTGCCCCAGGTGCCCCAGGAACTTGTCGCGCCGTCGCGCCAGCCCGTGTGGTGGTAGCCGCCTTTGCCCCTGTCGTCTGTCTGGGAGTGACGCAAGTAGTTGGCTCGTATCCTATCCCAGTCGATATCATAGCCCAACCTCGTGTTCATCTCGTAGGCGTCATACCCGCAGTCCTTCCAGGCCTCTAGGAAATTGTTGATATCCGAGGGCGCGTGTAGTTTCGGGTCGGATTTGGGCGCCCTCCATCCAGGGAGCAGGGTAGGCTGCGTGTTCGCTGTCCACAGCGCGCAAAAGACTGCCCCCAGCTCCGACTGAAGCCTGGATATGCGTCTGGCTGGTGTCTCGTCGGGATGTTCGAGTTCGACAGTGCCCAGCCTGACTTTGTACACTGGGCCGCCTCCATCAGGGCAGGACAACAGGTTGAGTGCGTCCTGTTCCGATGAACCAATATGGCGAGGGTGATAGGGCCTCTGTCCAGGGGGCATCGGGGTGGGCGCAGGAGAGCGCTCGTACCGCGAGCCACCACCGTCGCTGGCCCTCTCGTACCTCGCGGGGTCTCGGGCTGGACCCCTTCTGCGGTCGGCGTAAGGCGTTTCCTCTGCAGCTGAGGTCGCGGTATCCTCGCGGCTGGTGTCAGAGCTGTCCGCCGACGGGCTTCGCTGTGGCGCATCGCCGCCTGAGCGATTGTCATCATCTTCCTGGGCCGACTCTGAGCACGTGGGAGGA